AACTTTATATATCCTTAGAAATAAGCTTTTATAGTGTAAATCTGCTTTTGTGACCTTTTCTGCACCAAAGATATTGAACCATGTGTTTTCCCAGTCGACTTCATGAAACTCTATTTCTGCCCACAGCTTCAAATTTCTACTCATAAGTACCCATGTTGCAAACTGATCTACTTGTCCCAGTTTCTTTATGAAACCTCTTAGGGGTTTTTGAATTAGGTTGTTTTTCCAAAATGCATTATATGTAAAGTTATATTTTCTATCCACCTTGTATTCAAGATTAGTGCTAGTTGTTCCTTCTTTAGCAAATTTGTCTACTACATTGTTATAGTGTTCTTGTTTATGTGCTTTAACTACATTAGATACCTTTTTTAACTAATTTGTTTATTTTTTTAAATAAAGTTTATCACGTGATTATTTACAAAATTTCCTATAACGAACTTTTTAGCCCAGCCCAAGAGTTCGTTATAGACAGAGTAATTAATTAATAACTTTATAAACATTATTATGATAATCCAATCAAACAAAAACAAAGCAAAATAAAAGTATATTTTGTTATGACAAATTTATTTTAAATTGGCAATTAATTAGGTAACATAGAAATAATAGAGAAGTGAAAAAAGAAAAAAAATAATGTTTTTTTATAATAAAATAAATATCAAAGGAAAGAAAGCCATCCAGCATGTAAAAATTAAAAAAAAACCAATTTGTTTTTTTATTTAATTAACTAATTAAAAAAAATCTATTAAAATTTTTAGAGGAAAAAGTTTTTAAGTATATCTCTATATTTAAATTAATATTAAATATATATGTATGTAAATATGTTATATTTCAACATCATCGTCACCATCATGGTGAAGTGTAACTAAGAATTGAACAAGTAAGTATAATAAACAAAATACCTTTTGCAAATACTTATTAAAAAAATTTTAATAACAAGAAAGATTCATTTTGTATTAATGATACTTACCACTGTTAAACTCTTCAAATGGGTTATCACCATTAATTTCCACAATAATTTTTTCACCCTCCATATCTAAACTGACACTTTCTTGTATATTCCTAAAGTTAACAGCATCTGTTCCATTGCTTAGCTGAGGAATAATTGGTGGTTTAGCATGTCTTAATAAAGCCCACTGAGTATTCTTAAAGAATTGATGAGCTTTAACATCTGATGCACCAGCTTTTGATCCAAGTCGTTTGTTTTCATCCTTACAAAGCAACTTACGAATCAAGGATTTACAAAGACTAATATTACCAACATTAATCAATAAAAACTTTAAAAATTTTGCTGCAAATATAATAATAATAATAATTTTAATTTAAATGTTATTTATTTGTTACCTAGATACTTGAACACCACCAATTTCGGGAAAATATACTTCATTTCTTAATATATTTGAAAATGTTGTATTTCTATTTTGGCCCTTGAAAGGTGTAAATCCATACTGTCATAAAAATAATTACCAGAATTAAATAGAAATTCCTTTTTTTCAATCAATAAAATTGATCAATCAACTAAATATTATAACTAACCAGCATCTCATATATTAAAATTCCTAATGTCCACCAATCAACAGCACTTGTATGACCACAACCCTTAATCACTGATAATAAAAAGAAATAAGAATTTTGATCAATTTTTATGCAAAATCTTTCCCAAAATTACCTACCTTCTGGAGCAATATATTCTATGATACAATAATAAATTACAATTGAATTTAATAAAAAAAAATATGAATAACTGGATTTTTAATTTTAGAAGTAATCCTTTGGAAAAAAAAGATTTCAAACCTTCTGTTCCAACAAATGAATTTGTTCTAAGATTAGCTATACATGATTTTGTATCTATTGTAGGAGGCTTTTTTATAATCATAAATAAACCATATACATTAAATAGTTAAAATACTAGTAGTGATATCACAATTGTATATTTATAGCTTTTTATTTATAACATACTAAATTTCCTGGGCCATTTTTTACAATTCCTGGCATATTTGCTGGATGTGATTGTTTCGATAAGTCAAAATCTTTTTTAATTAAATAAGAAAACCATATATTTATTATTGACTAATATGGAAAAAAATCTGACATTGTTATAGTCGTATGTTACCTGATAACATAATGTGTCCTGATTGATGCAATAATATATCTTTAAAAAATTTATTATAAATATTAATATTGTTAATATTATTGTTTATTAAATATTTTTTATAATGTATATTTAATTCTGTGCTTACTTTCAGGCTTCAAATCTCTATAAATAAATCCCATCAAATGTAAATATTCTAATGCAGCAATAACCTCTGCAGCATAAAATTTTGCATCCTCTTCTGAAAGACATTTTCCTGGTCTCATTTGCAAAGCTAAATTCCGCAATTTATTTTTTTACTTTTTTTTAAAAATTTTTTTTTAAAAAATTAACAAAAAATATTTACCTCTGAAGAATTCACCTCCCATGCAATATTCCATACATAAATACAAATAATCTTCACTTTGAAAAGAGTGATACAATGTAACAATGAAAGGGTGATTTGATGTAGCCAAAATTTCCTGGTAAATAATTAAATTTGTTAAAAAATAAATGCTTGTGAAGGCATGTGTGTGAACATGTATATAAACAAACCTGTTCAGCTAGAGCACGCTTAATTTTGTTACGCTTAATCATTTCTTTTTTTGATAATACTATTTAATTATAATTAAGCATATAATTATCATTTATTTAAAGAAGCATAAATTCAAGGAAAATCTATTTTTTTTTTACCTTTCATGGCAAAAAGTTTACTGGTTTTTTTTTCTTTCACCAGGTAAACTTTTCCAACATCACCCTTTCCCAATAATTTAATTTTTTGAAAACTATTTGGTCCAACTTCAACTCTTTTAACCTTTATAGAATTTGAAGAGTAAGTACGCTTAAAAGTTCCTGAACGTTTCATCTCTGATAATGGTATATTATTATGAGATTCAGTGCTATTAGAGTTCTCTGGTACTGATAGTTTTACATTATTGTAATCATTTACACCAATTTTTTGATTTTGTTGCTGACTATTATTAAAATTTTCATTTACAGATTTTGTATTTGGCGCAGAAGCAACTCTTCTTAATTTTTGATTATTGTAAGAGTCTTTTAAAAACCAAGGTCCAATAGTTTTACTTTTTTCAGTAGTTTTTAAAGGACTATTCTGAATAGTAACATTACCACTTGAACTATTTAAAATACTTTTTTCACTTCCATTTGAAATAATTGATGATAGTGATGCTGAAGAGCCCAATTCTCTATTTTTATTCGAAGAGCTATTTGCATTTTCACCATTTATTTGATCAATTGAAGGCTCTTTTTTATGATTAGCATTATTTAGTTTAAATAACGATTTTAATTTTGAGGGTAAGTGCGCAATATAAGAAGGTGCAGGACTTGCAATGACAGAAGAAATGTTATTTGAGGAATGATTTGTGATTGAATAAGATGGTATATCTGTTAGCATGGAATCTGAATCTAAAGGAATGGAAGAAAATGTTAGGTGATCTTCTAAGTCACTAGAAGAACTAGTAAATAAATCTGAGGTGCTATGGTATGGTTTTACTTTTCCAAAACTTCCGAGATGAAGTTCACTAGTATTGTTTGTTAATTGAGAAGAAGTTTGGGTTAGAACAGAAGTGTCCATATTCTAACATACATATACACATATATTAGAAGAAAAAATTTAAAATTTCGTAAATAAAAGTGGAATTAGTCGTTTCACAAAAATAAATTACTGGCAGATCATTCAAAAAAAAAATTTCAATCTACTCAATGAGTCGGTCGTTTATTTGTGTGTTCTAGTACAAATAACGTTCTTCTTGGTAACACAGCTTAAACTAATTAATTAAATACATGATAATTGGAAATTATTCATTTATTTCTTTTAATTTCCCTTTTTTTATTTTTCATTTAGATAATAATAATTTAAAATGGATTTAATTAATAATCATAATATAGAAACATCAAATTTATTGATAGAAAATTTTCTTAGTGCACATGAAAATGGTAATTCATCATTATCGCCAACAACATCTTTTTCTTCAAGAAAATCATCATCGTCATTATCTTTTTTGTCTTTATCGTCATCTTCAATCACTACAAATTTACCATTTGAGATTTTTGGAAATATATTTAGATATTTAAATAAAAATGATTTAAAAACATTACATTCATCAGTGTTAGTTAATAGATATTGGTGTCAAAATACAATTCCTTATTTATGGAGCTCACCATTTTCTAATAGAAGAAAAATTCATAAGATCATACCATTATATATGACATTTTTAAGTGATGATAGATTAGATGAATTATATCAGAAAGGCGTTCCAAAAATCCCAAAAACCATTTGTTTATTTGATTATCCTCTATTATTACAAAATCTTGATATACAATTATTATCTTGGGCAATTTATAATTGGTTAAAGTTTGAAATCTTAAAAATAAAAAAAATAAAAATTCAAGATCATAAAGAAACTATTTATGGTGGTGATGATGATGATGCTGAAATTTATTATTATGATAATAATAATAGAAATGAGAATTATGGATTTTTGGACGTTAAAATGTTTATTAAATTATTTTCAGAATTATGTAGAATATTTTTAATAAAATCTACAAAAATATTTAAACTTAGTTTGAATACAAAAAATATACCAGCACAAATCCCTTTTTCGTTAATTAAAGAATTCATCAATTGTTTAACAGAAATCATTAATAATAATCTTAATTATAACAATAATTGTTTATTGAATTTACAAACATTAATGATTGATGAATTATATATCAAACAAAATTTATTAAAATCGATTTCAATAAAATCACAGAAAATCACTAATTTGATAATTTCAGATGAAACTTTTGAGAGTGAATTAAAATTTTTAATTTCTAGACAAAGAAACTTAAACAAAATTATAGCAAGAAATTGCAATTTTGAAAAATCAATATTCAAATCATTAATGGATTATTGTAATAATAGTTTGAGTGTGTTGGAATTTTACAATTTTAGATTTGAGCCAATGTCTTTAGATTTATTAAGAAAATGTAAAAATTTAAAGATTTTAAAACTTGAATTCGTTAAATATAATGGTAGTAAGGAATTATATAGATTATTAGGTCAAATTAAATTCTTAAAATTGAAAAATCTTAGCTTAAAATTAATTGATTATGAAACGTCATACGATGCACAATATAATTTTGGTCCTACAATAGAAGAATTTTATGAGATTTTTAAAACTAATGGCCTTAATTTGAATATCCTAAAATTAGAAATAAACTTTGAGAAATATTCAGAAGCTTTAAGTATTATAGGAAAAAATTGTAAAAATTTAAAAGAAATAGAAGTAATTGGAAATTATGATGTTAAGGATTTGCTGATATTTTTAAATCAACCTTTAAATCTTAAAAAATTAAGTTTAGGTAGTAGTAATATTAACAATGCAACTGCAACTACAACTACAACCACAACCATTACATCAACATCAAACAATTATTATTTTTCGGAAAGAAGTGTTAATAGTAATAAATCTCCAGGTGACATTAATCCAATAGAAATATTGTTACAAATTCCAAATTTAATTGCAATTAAAAAATTATCCTATTTTTATACAAATTGGGTATTCTATACATCTGAAATTTTAAATATTTTAAACAATTGGGAAGCTCCATGTTTAGAATTTAGTTATTGGTGTGCTGAAAATTTGTTAGAATTACATGAAAAAATGTTTATAAATTATTATCAAGAAAGAATTAATAGAAACTTAAATGAAGATAAAATAAAGAAAATGAATTTTATGATTAAGAGTATTGTTTATTGGGATTTACGAAGATTATGTTTAGTAGTAGTTAAATTTATATAAATAAATTTTTTTTTAGATTATTAGAAAATAATAAAGAATAGGATTTTCATTATAGTAATAGTGAATTTTACCAATAAATTTGTTTCTTATAATGGACTTATTATTATTAATTATTGGGGGTCGATAGGGTCCCACAAACTATATATATATGGGGCGCGGAAAATAGAAAGGGACCTAACAGCAAAATCTCGATTTTGAGAAAATTGAAAAAAAGGATCAGCATTTCAAATAATTTACTATTGTTTTTTAAAACTTTAACAGAAAATATCTCGAAATTTTACTAAGCAAAGTGAGTATAGTTCCTAAGCTAAAATTAACCGTTGTGAAGAATTACATATAAAAACATTATTAACTCAAAATCGAGATTTTGCTGTTAGGTCCCTTTCTATTTTCCGCGCCCCATATATTGAGCATAGTGGACATTTGATTTTATTGGCTAAATTTTGTGACGATCTCCCTTCCAAAAATTTAATTTTATTGGCTTGAAGATCGTTGCGCAAATTTGAAAAACAAATATTTAATTGACGATCTGTCTATGAATCAGTGAAATGTCAATCTTTTTGTTATTAAAAAACGGAGGAAATATCTTATCAGTCAGACAAGATTTCATGTGATCAACATGTCTACTGTCAATTTTTACTATTAAAATTGAAAGAACTTTTTACTTGTCACTAGTACACCCACATGTAATTTTTAACAAGGAACGTGATATTTTGTACACAAATTCTTTGAGATTTTATTAAAATTTTAGATATGGTTTCATAATGAAACAATAAATAATTAGCAGTTGGAAGTTATACATTTTTAAATAAAATATTAATAAAATGAAAACTAATAATAAATAGTTGATTATATAATTTTTTAATATTGTAATTATATTCTTACTAATAAACTTTACTTTTTGTTTATATATAAAACAGATATTGCAAGACTCATTAAAGGATATATATATATATACATTTTTAAATAATGAATGATAAGAATGGTCACAAAATGTTGTTCCAATAATTACAACACTGCCTTAGAAAAAAAAATAAGGAATTGATGTATGTTGAGCACATTTTTAGTATTAATATTAAGAAAAATATATGATATAAATAATGAAAATAAATTCTCTTTGTGATTTAATATTTTTTTTTCTTCTAATTGTGTAATGTAATATTTATAATTACTATATACATAACAGTGACAATTGCAGAAGAAAGAAAATATAGGCTATTATTATTATTATTTATTATTATTTTTTAATGATTGGTTATTAATGAAGTCTTTCTTTAGCAGATAAAGGAATTAAGTACATTGTCATTTTAAATATAAGTATGATATAATCATATAACAATATTCTTATAAATCTGTTTTTAATCATTTCAATCATTGTAATTTCATTGTAATAATTATTAATAAACAAATATTTTATCTTTTGCAATCATATATTTTTTAAATACCTATCTTCCATAATTTTTTATTAATAATTTTTACCATTATATCAAGAAGTTTACAAAAAAAACCACATTCCACTGTTGGTAAACAAAGTAAAGATGTTGCTTTGTGAAAGTTAAAAAACATAATACACTCATCAAAGAAATCTACAAAGGTAGATCAAACAAAGATATAGAAGTTGGAGACAATTCACCCACTCTGGTTTCAGACATAACAGTTGCACCAATTGATGAGATTGAAACTTCTTT